TATATATATATATATATATATATATATATATATATATATATAACATCTGAATCTGTGAAGATGGCTCAGTTGCTATGCAACCATGAGGACCTGAGTCTGAATTCCCAGCATGCACATAAAAGCTGAGTGTGGCTACAGGTGCCTGTCGCCCTGCTATTGGAACCAGGAGACAGGTGGCTCCTATGAGCTCATTGGACAGTCAGCTCCTGGTTCACTGAGGGACCCTGTCACAAAGGAGCAAGATAGAGATCAACACCAGAGAATACTAACGTCTCCCTCAGGCCTCTGCATGGGTGGTCGTATACACTCAATTTTGTAGTCACATGTGTGCAACACACACGGTATCAAAAGCAACTCAAGAAAATTCAATGCTGTGAAACATGAAGGCTTTTAAAAGAGATAACTTTCTAGTGTTCAGTTGCACCTAATTCTTTGGTTTACAACATCAGCGTTTTGTTTCCCTGGTGCCTCCTACAGATCCTGGTGAAGACACAGTTTCAACATTTCCCAGACAAGAGGACATAGAGCAGGCAGAGCCCATGTTCAGTGCAATGTGTGCAGTCTGCAGAGGCAGAGGCCAGCTCTCCCTGAACACTGGTCTTATGTCACTGCTGTACATGCTTAGCAATGCAGAGTGGGGGCTGGAGAGATGGTGCAGAGAGGGGTTCAGAGCACTGACTGCTCCTCCAGAGGTCTTGAGTTCAATCCCAGCAACCATATTGTGGTTCCCAACCATCTGTAGTAGTATCCGATGTCCTCTTCTGGACTGCAGAGCACTCATTCATAAATATAAGTAAAATACATGCATACACACACACACACACACACACACACACACACACACACACACACGCTTACACAAGAAATACAGAGAGCAATACAGAACTCAAGGGTTTAGATGCAGATTCTCTCATCACTGAACACAAAGCACCCAAGATGTGTCATTAACCCAACAATGAGCTCCCTTGCCCCACCACACTGAGATGATCCTCACTGAAAATGAGCAAGTCATTCCAAAGCCAGAAGAGAAGGCTGCAAAGAAGAAAAGACAGAAGAAACCAAAGACACAAAAACTTATAGGATGGCAACAACATAAAAATATGCAAATAAGACAGAGACCTGTTGGTTGTCTTCATTTGTAGGCATCTTAAGTGTTCTCATGAGATAGATCAAATGAAATTATATATTAAAGTTAGTTTTTAAAATAAGTTGGAAAAGAAAAAAACGACCTAGTCACTCTTACTCTTGACATCACCCCTTTCTCACTTTATCTGGAATTCTTGTGGTTATTCACAAACACGCTTAGGCAGGTATGCGCCATCTAATATTGTGCAGCAGCCCCCCTGGTATGAACATACCACAGTTTGTGAGATTGCCATTGGCCAATTGATGAGCATTTGGACTGTTTTCCAGTGTTAGAAAACATGGATTAATTTCCCCTGTGTTCTTGTGAGGTAACTGAACACTTAAACAATTTTCCACTTTATAGTATTTTCTAGTGTATCTCTTTCTGTAACTTCTTTAGGTTCTGTGAAAGTGCTGTGGAGAATAAAAACCTTGTCTCAGAAAATAAGTATAATGATAAAAGTACAAAAAGAAAATGAAATATAGCTGTAAATGTCATAACTTTATTCAATATATAAATTTTATGTGTCTCTAATTCCCTTCCATTTATTTCACTGTCCTTTCTTCTAACAGGTCTTGGTTCTTCATGTCTGGAGAAATCCATCTGATGAAATCTACAGGTCCCCATTTTTAAGCATTTCCATGTCCAGCGTCTAAAGAGAAGAACAGAACTGTTAGAGGAAGTAAAAAACCTACTAAAGACCTAGTTTTAATATTCAATTCTAAATCTTTAAATTTAATAATCTTTAGATGATGAAACTGTTCTCAGATTTTCTTCAAAGTTTAAAAAGAGAGCCAAAGGTGCCACAGAAAATGATTCACTGTGAAAGACAAACCCTGTCAGTCAACATAAAGGAATGTCTTCTATATTAGATCTTTCTTGTGCTGTATGGCTGATTGCAGTGACCCTGAACTTAACCAGAGGACATTTTACAATGTCTTAAAAATGTGGGTGGGCACCGGGTAGAGAATGCAAACATTAGTTGATTTAATTTTTATGTCTTACAAATTATTTTATATTTTTTTAATTTGAAATTTTATCATATTATAGCCCCTGCCCCAACTCCTCCCAGATTTCCCCCTTCTTCCTTACCCGACTTCATGTTCTCTCTCTGTCTCTGTCTCTGTCTCTGTCTCTCAAATAAATCTCTCCAATTCTTAAATTTAGTTAAAAACAAGTCACTCCCAGGTACTAGTAATTATATTTCACTAGCATATTTCTTTTCTTTTCTTTATTTATTATGTATACAACATTCTGCTTCCATGCACACTAGAAAAGGGCACCAGATCTCATAACGGATGGTTGTAAGCCACCACGTGGTTGCTGGGAATTGAACTCTGGACCTCTGGAAGAGCAGTCAGTGCTCTTAACCTCTGAGCCATCTCTCCAGCCCATCACTAGCATATTTCTATTAAGAAATTCTACAATGTATTTGATATAGTCCAATTCATTGATGATTCACCAGAATTTATATAATACAAAATGCTGTACTAAAACCCAGCCTAGTATTGAGGACTCAAGAGGATGTTCATTTATTTTCTTTACATTGGCATTAGATTTGACTATTTATACTGTACCAGTGCTGAAAGGGGCACTGTATTCTTCAACCGCGAATTCATCTAGAACACAGAAATGATGAGGCAGAAAGTGGTTAGTTGTGGATAAACCCTGTCAGTGAAGAACAAAAGCATAAACCACATCTACAGAATCAATGAAAATAAAGTCTATACTAAGTTATTTTGATTGGGGGTGGAGAGGAAGAGAACCGGGTCTCTGGAATAGAACTGAGGTGTGGACTACAGGCTTGCCGTGCCTGTAGGTACCACAGGACTCAGACAGCCCCTTCTCACACCTGTGCCTCCCTGCTAGCATTGCTCTTCCTTCTCTGTGTCTTTCCTCAATTTAGCAAGGAGACATCATTTATTACAGTAATGATGTCTAATGCTGGCAAGTTTCAAGTTCAAAACCGGAGCAAATGGAAGAATTTCCTGCTCGATCCGGTCTCCTCACATTTGGGGGATTTAAAATAGGTCAAATGGTAGGTTCTGTGTCACACATCAGTAGCAAGATGTGATCTAAAAGAATATTGCTATTCTTACTCTTCCAGAATAATCCAGCCTAGAGCAAGCAACTTTAAAGGGAAATTTAGATAGAATTCATGATCAATTGTTTCGTGATGTCCTCCCCGGAATGGCCCTAGGCTGGTTTAAGTGCACCCAAGGGGTTAGTGCGCAAAAACATAATTTTAAGTGACCATAAACTCACTTTTTCTTCCAGTGAAAGATTGTGGAGTTTTGTTTTATTTAAGATAACTTTTAATTAGGCCAGAATCATTTCCTGTTGAAGATCAGCGTATCTGGATTCCACTTACCTGTCTCATAATAATCATACACTTTTACTGGAGCTGGTTTTAAGTTTTCTACTGGGATGTCTTGTTCCACCAAGAATGAGAAACTCAGGGTGTGATTGGTGAGCTGGAGAGATAAGAGAACAGAATTGGACTCAATGATTAACTTAGTTGTTAGTCGCCATCTTGTTTCCTTAAGATATGCCAAGCTGCAGGAATGTGCGATGCCCCATTTCCCAGGCTGGAAGAGAATGGGACATTTTGCTGTCTATACCGTAACTAGATGAGTAAAAGATGCAAGGACAAAAGGTGTGCGGGTGGCCAAGCTGATCAGTTCCGCTCCCATTTTCCTTTGTAGCTTCTTTTGTCCTCTGTGTGCGTGCGTGCGTGCGTGTGTGTGTGTGTGTGTGTGTGTGTGTGTGTGTGTGTGTGTGTGATAAAGGGGTGGCAGAGACTGACTCTTTGGAATCTTGATGGTGTGGTGAGCAATTCTTACAGACCCCAAATCACTTACCTTTTCAACATAGACTAGAACATGGTTGGTGTTCACTTCAGTCCTCTGAATATTAGAAAGGTCTTGGAGCTGTTGATAAGCCAGAAGTATGGGGTGAGGGAGGTTTATGCAAAGAGCAATTTTCAGGTATTTTTCATATACAAGGCTTCCCTGAAGAATCCAAATCACTGATTTTTTGTTTCTTTAGGAACACTAGTCATAATGATAATATTTATTGAATCCTTTCTATTTATATGTATGTATATAGATACATGTATGTGATTATACATATACTAGTAGTGTATAAGGGGATATACATACATGCATACATACATACATACATACATATTTGTGTGTCTGCAGAATTGGGTATAAGGCTAGAACTTAGGCCTCATACCAACATACTAATAACCAATATAAGCAGTAATAAGTGATAGAATCACACTCTGGAGAGGCAGGTCTGCAGGAGTAAGCCTTTTGAAACTATATCAGTAAAATCAAATAGACAAACAGTGTGGCATTGCCACCTGCAAGAGTCAGTGTTAACCCTCTCCACCTATGGTTTAGTGTTTAGCCTTTTCTTTTTTATTTGTTTTACACACCAACCACAGTTCCCCTCCTTCCCCTCCTCTTGTTCCCCCACCACCTCCCTTGCAACCCACCCCCATTCTCTGCTCAGAAATGGTCAGGCCTCCTACGGGGAATCAACAAAGCCTGGCACATTAAGTTGAGGCAGACTAAGGCCCTCCTGTGTTTAGCCTTTTCTACTGAAAAGGGCACAGGGTTTACCTTTTTCACGGTTGACTTCACAGGTATGAAGCCTGATACCATCTTCACATCAACAATGACCATGTTGGAGCTGGGTCGCTCTCCCGTATAGCTAGGATGGTAACACACAGAGATAAGTCCTGCTGACGAGGTGCGTCGGGATTGATTGAAGCCAGAAATCTAACCTTCTTTATTACTCAGTTTCTCTAGCTACCATATCTGTGTAGCTGTTTGGAAATCTCATCATTTTCCTCTCCTCTCTTCAGATAGATTATATATGCATATATGTAAATATATACACACACTATATATGTAAATATATACATACATATATTGCAACTTAGGTTTTACCTTACGTTGATGTGAATCAGGAATGTTTTGTAATGTTCATCAGAATTGACGGGGAGGGTGTCAACCTGCAGAGTGAAGGGCGCTTTTCCTTCTGTCTTCGGAAGGATGTTGTATTTTAGAGACACCTGAAAACAACCAGAGCGAAATTCTTTGTCTCAGAGCTGACAACTTCTCACAGCCTCTTCTAAGTAACTCCACTCTTTACTTAGCAATGAAAACGTAACCCTGGAGGCCTCACCTGGAGGTACGCACATCCTGACCCTGACACTTCAGTGACATACTTTCCAGGGAGATCTGGCAGCCTGACTTCCTGCAGCAGCAGGCGGTTGTCATTGTGAACATGGAACTTCTGAGAGAAGGTCCCCAGAGACTTGATGGTGACCAGCACTTCTTTCTTACTTCTGGTAAAAGTGGCTGCTCCATATTTAGCGAGGGCTTGGAGAGCCACCACTGTATCCTGAGAAAAAGAAAGATACAGAAATTGCAGCGGATGGAGCGATAGCAATGCCACACCGCATGCCAACACTACTTCCTTTGAGGATTATTTAGTCAAAAGCACAGCTGATTATTTTAACTTCAGTACAGTTCAATCCTGTTTACTAATGGTGACCCAACCTGGGTATTTTAGGGGGAATGAGTTTTATCATTTACACAGATTACAGCATATACAGAAATATGAACTGAACATGTATCATCAGTAGTTTATAAATCTGTGTGGCAATATTTGTTGTAGAAATTTGAAATGGGGAAGAAAATGTAGGCTACGATAGAAAAAGAAGACTGAAGATGAGAAGTAAGATAATTCTTGAATAATGAAAAGTATTTATGGAGAGGGGAGAGGAGAACGTGGAAGAGCTGGCATGTTGTAAATGGTCCCAGAAATGACAGCAAGTCCATTCCCGAAGCAGCATAAGGACTTGGCTGCCTAACAGGGTGAGTACACATTTACTACGGACAGGAAATGGCTTAGACAGAAAATTAGAGAATTTTAGTCTGTGGATGGAAACAAAGTTAATTTTCTCATGGAAGTAATTCTAAAGAAACAGTGCTTTGGGAAACCGGCCCCTGGTGATGTTGAGGACCTTCATCTGTGAGAAGATGATGAGGATGGAAGGTGAACAGAGAGAGCAGTGTCCGTCAGTGAATTAGGCCGGGCCTCGGCCATGGAGGGACGGAGAATGTAAACGTCAGAAATGAAGATTCAGCTATGTAATCCCTAGAATATGTTTGTGTTTCCATATGGATTAGGTGATGTATTTTCCCTCATAGGGTGTACTGGCTGGGTTTGTGTGTCAACTTGACACAAGCTAGAGGCATCAGAGGAAGGAGCCTCAGCTGAGGAAATGTCTCCTTGAGATCCAGCTGTAAGGCATTTTTCTCATTTAGTGATCAAGGGAGGAGGGCCCAGCCCATGGTGGGTGGTGCCATCCCTGGTCTGCTGGTCCTGGGTTCTATAAGAAGGTGGTCTGAATAAGTCAGGAGCAGCAAGCCAGTAAGCAGCTCCCCTCCATGGCCTCCGCATCAGCTCCTGCCTCCATGATCCTGTCCTGTTTAAGTTCCTGTCCTGACTTCCTTCAGTGATGAACAGCGATGCTGAAGTGTGAGCCAAATAAACCCTTTCCTCCCCAACTTGCTCTTTGGTCATGGTGTTTCGTCACAGGGTCTCTCCACAGACCTGAGTGGAGGAGAAGCCCCCGTGGGAGTTTTGTTGCTTGGTGATCCATTTCACAATTTTGGATGCTGAAGACAGGTCCTCTGAAGAGCGGCCCAGTGAAGACTGGGAAGGCAAAGCCGTAAGATAGGCAAGAAGCACATACGCTGTCATTTCCACTTCCGCAGAAGGCGCCCGTGGTTGATAGTAGGGCGTCTTCACTTCCTGAATGTTCCCAGAACGTCGCCAGTGCATTGAATCATCTTTTAAATGGAAAGGGTAAATTTTTTTTGGCTTAAAACATGGTTTTAAAATCTAGCTCATGAGTGATGATAAGTTCAGCTAATGAGCTGGCACACATGAAATGAATGGATGTTTTAGAACAGTCACAAGCAGATTTATTATTATTATTATTATTATTATTATTTTATTATTTTGAGGCAAGGTCTCATTATTTAGACCAGGCTGGCCTAGAACCTGGAGATCCACCTGTCTCTGCCTCCTAAGTGCTGGGATTAAAGGCGTGAGCCACTATGCCTGGTAACAAGCAGATCTTCACCAAAGAAGTACATCAAGCTCCCAGATGATCACTCGGGAAGTTATTGTGTCTCGTATGTACTTATGAGGCACCAGCAGTTGGATTACATAAAATAATGTGTGTCAATAAAATGGTTGATGAGGCACCAGCAGTTGGATTATATAAAATCAATAATGTGTGTCAATAAAATGGTTGATATCATTTAAGAGTTGGGTCAATGAGTTTCTCTTGCTGTCTTTCTGGCTACGGCAGCACACGAGTGACTCTATCTGTCATCATTAGTGACCATAGTTAAGTATACTTTGCAATAGAAACTCCTACCTTCTCTCACAGCCTCTCTGTTGAGTGATTCAAGCAGCTCGCTTCGCTTGGCTTGGTTTCCTGCCAGGGCAAAGGCATAGGCCAGCAATGCCTTGGTATAGACATGACTTCCTTGGCTCTGTGAGATGGAGGCCCAGGCTGTTTCCAGGCAAAACAGAGCATTTCGGACAATACTGTGCTATAAATAAAAGAAGACGAGAACCAATTTTCAAATAACAGAACCAGGCTAGGGAACTTTCCCCAGGCTAACCCTGGGTTGAGAGTCATACTGTGACAACCCCCCAGCATTAGAATTTGTGCCAGGGGAGAGTTTCCTGTAAATCTTTTAAAAAGGACTAATTCATGTCACAGTGAAATGTACCAAAATCAAAGACCACAAAAACTGGAGGTTTCCTCAGGGGATCAAAGTTGTGTTATTTTTTTTTTTATTTTTTAATTTAATTCCTTATGTTTGCGAAGGAGGTATAGGGGTGTGTACGTACCTCGACAGTCAGTGGAATCTCCAGCAGAGCAATGGTGATGTAGGCAGAGAGTGTCACTTCATCAGCCACACCGCCCTGGAAGGGCAGAGGGGGAACTCTCACACACCGGCATTCGCTGGAACACTAGAGCCTCTAAGTTCCGTCACTGGGATTGAGAACTCTTTTTTAATGTCTGAATCATGTGTATATGTGTGTATTTATGTGTCAGTTTGTGCATGAGTGAAGTACCTATGAAGGCTGGAAGAGGGCATTGGGCCATCTGGAGCTGGAGTCACAGATGCTTGTGAGCCACTTGAGGATGCCGGGAACCCAGCTGGTCCCCTGCACTAGCACTAAATGCTCTTAATCACTAAGTCGTCTCCCCAGCCCCAAGGATTAGAGAACCCTTAGAGAAGCCTCCTTCCTACATGTCACAGCCTTCAGAGTCTAGAGGAGGAACAGGGCATCACCTTCATAGCGTTGTTGAGCAGATATCCAGACTGCTGGAAACAACCATCTTCCTTTTGTTTCCCTGAGAGCCAGTTGAGAGCTTTGGTGATGTGTGTCTTCTCTATAAAGATGTGGGACTGAGCTTGAGCGAAGGCCTTGAGAACGAATGCAGTGAGCCTGTCCAGCAGGAAAGAGACCGAGACAGTAGGGCCGCCTCACTTTTGAAGCTCGCCATGTGTTGCCTGCAGACACTGATCTTCACAGCTCCGTGGAAGTCATTTTGGAGGGTCTTAGTTGATAGCTTTCAGTCGCCCTCCCATCACAGCTGCATTTCCCAAATGACTTCCAACTGTCCCAATCTACATCTCTCACCTTGCCTCCTCTCAAGGACAGCGAGAGCGCTTTCCCCGTGACTCTACTTCCTGACTTACACCTCTATTTCTTTGTCTCACTATGATTAGTGGTGTCGGCAGAGCAGGTGGGTTTTCTGAGGTCCGTAGGAATGACATTGCAAGTTTTAAGAATAAGTAAACCTCCCAGAAAAGAATCCCAGGTACCAGAGAACAGCCATTTCTAGACTCTGAAATGCCTCCGATCAGCAGAGCATGAAGACACAATTTCATCTTACCAAGTATTTCCCTGGCTGTTCCCACCTCGATCCCCAAATGTGCTGTACGAGCCATCACTGTGCTGATAGTTCAGCTGCCTCTGATACCCTGGAGAGGAAATTTCAGTCATTTATGAAGTAGAGTGCCATTAGACAAGTATTATTATTCATTTGTTTTAACCCTATCAGAGAATCATCGAGTAAACATTCTTTTTTTCACGTTTCTAAGGCTATTGACACTTGGGAGTCATTATTCTAGAGAGGGGCAGTTGATTGGGAATTACAGCAACAGTGATTACCAAATCTGAACCAAAGAGAAGGCATTTAGAAGTTCAGGTAAAATGGCTCACCGCTGACGAGGTGGCTAATGGCTTTGGACTGGATCGTCTCCGTCAGCTGCTGTGTTTCATTCAGATAGTTGAGAACATAGATATTAGGGACAAAAAGGACCATGTTTTGCTCTCCACAGCCATAGGGCATCCGGACAAGATTTTGGAGGTTTTGCATTGCAGAGCCTAGTATATCGCCTGAGGAGTGAAAGGTTATTGCAAATTAGAGGAATATAGAGATGGTTTGTATTGGAGTAGGGAAATATAACTAAGAGGCCACGTTATTAATGGAATGAGAGACAAAAAATTATACAAAAATTGAGAAAACAGAGAACAGGGAAGAAACTGAATGGCAAGAGGTAACATCTTTTCTGAGGGGCCATAATGTCTGGGAAAATGGAACTATCATTTTCATATCTGCTAGGATACACTGTCACCCAGCTGATCACTTGAAGATGAGGACACAGCCCTTATTAGCTGTCCGAGTTAACTAAAGCATACCACATAGGACAGCATCCGTTAAACCTGCTTTCTCGCTCTCGCACAGGGCAGCCCCGAGCTTGTAGCTCCTGTCTCAATCCAACCCCTGGTGCTGGGTGACTTCATTAGTCATGCTTGGTGAGACCCCATGTATACTGGGATTACAGAGAGGGACAGCCCTTGTGGCTGGGGCTGAGAGACTTACCCAAAACGGAGTGTGTAGCCCTGGCAGATCCTTCAACCACATTGGGTGGAAGGTTCAGTGACCAGTCCTGATGTAATTCAGCATCTAATGAAGGAAGACAAACAGGACATTAGTGACAAGAATAGTGTGAGCTGGGAGGGGATGTTTTCCTTAACATTATCTAGATGGAGTCTTTCTGTTTCTCTTGGACCTTAAGCAGTTTCTTGATGTAGTTCAGTTTCTCCCAGAGCCACCACTCATTGTCTCATGACAAAAGTTCATATTGCTTATATATTTGTAGTAAATGTCTATAGCTTTCCTTATAAGCCTGTATGTTACTAAGACTTCCTTCTTTCTCCTCATGGATTATATTAATTCTCTCTCTCTCTCTCTCTTTTCTTTTTTTGGTTTTTCTGTGTAGCTTTGGAGCCTCCTGCCTCTGCCTCCCGAGTGCTGGGACTAAAGGCGAGCACTACCAACGCCAGTCTCTCTCTCTCTCTCTCTCTCTCTCTCTCTCTCTCTCTCTGTGTGTGTGTGTGTGTGTGTGTGTGTGTGCATGTGTGTGCACTCATGAGGCAGGGTCTCACTGAATATAGAACTTGCTGTTTCAGCTAGACTGGTTGACTAGTGGTCCTCTGGGGTCCTCCTGCCCCTGTTCCTGGGTCCCTGGTGCTGGCTCGGATTACAGGTGTTCACTGTCTTGCTCGGCTTTTATATGAGGGCTAGGATCCAAATTCAGGTCCTCACACTTCCACAGCAAACGCTTTACCTACGGAGCCATCTCCCTAGCTGTAATTCCCATCACTGTTAATGCTTTTATGTAAGCATTTATCCCTCAGATATGCATTAAACATGTGATTGGTGCTGCATTCTGTCTTATGTGCTGTGAAAGGCGACTTTCAAAACTCATTTCCTGACTTTTTGGAGCTTTCACTTTCACGAGAAGGGTTAGGAAAACGAGTGAAGATGTATTTAGTGAGACTGACATTGGTGGGTCCTGGAGAAAATTAAAAGAGGCTGTTTATGGATGGAACTAGTAAAGTGCGGGCAACCAGGAAGTGGGAGGCTGGGGAGGTGATTCACTATGGAAAGACTCATCGAGAAAGTCGTCAGTATTCAGAGACCATCAGTAAGATTTATAGATACCATTGGAAAAATACTTCCAGGAAAAATGAACCAAAAAGTATAAAGACTTCAGAGGGAGAGGGAAGAGAAGGCTGGCGTGGCTGGCTCACAGCAAGGGAGAGACAGAGCAGGAGGCCATGACGCGTAGGGGAGGGAGGGCTTGAGGATGATGTTAAGGGTTGGAACGTAGGGGAGCTGTGAGAGGTGTGAGCACAGGAAAGACACATTCTGACTGATTTGATATGTTCTTGAAGGGAGCCCTCTTGCTGTACAAGAGGAGATGGTCAGGGGGTCAGTTAGGGAATTGCTGAATTCTGTTTTCTCTTCTTTTTTCTTCTTTTGAGATGTGGACTTAAGGTCTGGCCTCTGTTGGCCTCACACCTGTGATGTTCCTGTCTCATCTTACTAATGGCTGGGGTCTCGAGTATGTGCCACACATGCAGCTCGGTTAGGAAGTCACTGAAATAGGCCAGCCAGGGAGAGGACTACAGTAGAAGTAGATGTGGCCAGAAGTAGGTAAATTCTGATGTGACTTGAAAGTGGAGTGATCTGCATTTGTGAACGGATTGGGGTGCAGTAGAAGAGAAGTCACACGGTAAAGGCAGGGTCGACGTTTTCACGCCTGCCGTGTAGGAGAATGAAACCACCACAATACGAGATGAAGGAAGCTGGGGGGAGCACATCTGTGGGGCCAGCAGTGCTTCCCTTTGCCTGCAGGGCAGTCCCGAGGTCCCTGTTAGACCTGCACGCCTCTGTGCGCAGAGGATGACTAAATACAGGAATCTGAGTTCAGAAAGGAGATACGCACCAATGATGCAAGTACATTCGTGAGCTCTGGTACTTAACGGTTATTAAAGCTATGTGCCTAGATCTGGGGAGGTGGCTCAGTCGGTAAAGTGTTTGCCTTGTAAGCATGAGGACCTGAGTTCGATCCTCAGAATCCATGTGGGAAGAAAAAGCCAGACATAGTAGTGTGTAGTTGTAATCCCAGCTCCGGGGAGGCAGAGGCAGGGAGATCCCTTGGGTTTGCTGGCCAGCTGGCTTACCTTACTTACTAGGTTAGTGAGAGGCCTGTCTCACAAAAAACAAGATGGACAGCACCCAAAGTACCATGCCTAGGGTTGACCTTTGTCCCCCATATGCACATGGACTTGTATGCATCCTCCACAGGAACACACACACTCACACACAGTGTATGTAGATGAGACTACCAAAGATACTGACGTGAATGGTCTCTAACTTGCAGTGTGAGAGCGATGCACAGTCCGTAGAAACCACCTTGAATTCTGAACACCACCCTTTCCCTGGACTAGTGACACAGAAAGCAACACTCTAGAGATGCTGGCCAGCAGCAGCCACCTTCTGCTTCAAGCCAGGATGGGAATATAAGAACAAACAATCGTGTTGCTAATCTATGATATCCCATAAGCAAGGTATATTCAATGAATTTTTGATGCTTATTATTTTCAGTTTGTGATGGATTTAGTAGGTTGCAATCCCTTTGTAAGTTGAAGGGACATCTCTATAGGGAACAGACTTGTAGGTAAAGCCTCACCTTGAGGAACTTCTGGATGGTGCACAGCTTTTTAGATGGAGATCTTTATATCACAGTATCAGTCATATACTGTTTTGGGGTCTATGCCAGTGCACCAGAGACACTGTCAATCAAAGCATGAGTGTGCATATATTTTAATTACTAATGTAACAGTACAACTGAACAATGCCACACAGATCCTTCAATATCCTCAACATAGTTTGAGGAGGAGTTTTGCAGACATAGATGTATTAGAAAGAATCCTGTCCCAGGTCAAGGCATTTAGTTTCATCACTAACCAGGAGCTTTCTAGCAACCTTTGCACTATGCCTCTTTATCATTAAAATGTGACAATAATGATAATAATAATAATGATAGTATTCTCAATGGCACTTATCCTTTATTCCCCTGGGGAAATTGAGCCTATTTTGAGAGATTCTCATCAAGAAAGGGCTTCTCTTCATAAAGTATCTTTAGGTTTCCATGGAAAGAGCATACTAGTTTTTGCTTCAGAGTAAGCCATATCCCAGAGATGACTTTTCAACAGCTATAAATTCTACTAAATGGTTTAACTTGAGGAGAATTTTATGTTTTGTTATACATACTTGATGGACATAACAGTGCGTTGAATGTTTGTTCCTTCTCGATTCCTTCAGGCTTAGCATTAAAAAAAAAAAAAAGTAAAATGATATATAACATACAAAACCCAAACCAAACCAAACCAAACCAACCAACAACCAAACAAACAAAAAACAAAACCCCAAGCCAATTGCTTTGAAGTATTAGTAAAAAATTGAGCTGTAGACCCATGTACAATCTTGGAAATGAGATAGAGTCGCCCGGATTACAAACACAAAGCCATACGACAGAGTCACAGTACTCACACACCTCGACTAGTAAGGGCTTGATTACAGTGTCCTTCCGTATAAGGGATGGCACTTCGGTCACCTCATTGCCACACAATTCTGGAGACTGTAAAGCTTCTGCAGTAGCTGTGAAGTTCACCTCCCCTGGGAGATACAAATTTGATGGCTTTAAATGATAATACGTGAGATGACCCAGCAATTGAAGATGCTTGCTGCCAAATCTGACACCCTGGGTTTGATCCCTGGGACCCACATGGTAGAAACAGAGAAGCAGCTCCCCACAAGTTGTCATCTGACCTCCACATGGGCCTTGTGGCACACACCCACAGCAAATAAATGAATTTGAAAATTCAGAAAAACAGTTCTACTGTGTTAAGTGCTTCCCCCCAGTGTACACAGTGGTTTTCTGCTTGGTTGATCAGTTTTAAATTCAAGAGGAGGAAAAGCATGCATTGGGCTCACAGCCAGAGCAAACCATTGCAACACAAAGCATGAAATCAGTCAACAGCTTTGCCACTCACTCACCTAGCGACTTTGGGGTCACAGCCCAGGACACAGTATTTCTTCCATTGCCACAGATGCAGTGAGAGTCTGCATGGACCCCCACTGGGACAGCCAGGAAATCAGGAGAGACCTCTAAGTCCACATGGATCTGTTCCCGAACGCAGAGAGGCAGAGAGAGTTAGGGGAGGGACGAGAAGCAGATACTGCAGACCAGGCCAGAGGCTTTGAGATGTGTCAGGATGGGTAAATCCTAGCACGTACTTTGAAGTTTAGATGTTTGCAACATAGGAATGGTGTAAATGCCTGGAATTTCTCTGTGCCAGAGGAGAAGGAGGAGATGTTTCTTTAGACAGACTAAATACAGAGTCATTTAGTTGGGCATGGTGGCATGTTCCTATAATTCTATCACACCGATGGTTGAGGCAGGAAGGTGGGCATTTTTAGGTCAGCCTGGGCATGTGCACAGTGAGACTATCTGTCTCAAAAAAAAAAATCCAAAGAGGAAAGAGCAATCATATGGGAACCATATCTGAATTTAGGAATATTTACACAGAGTACTGAATGAAAACAGTGTGTCGCCAGAAAGCTTTTCTCTGAGTACTTGCTCCCTTCTGAAATCGGGGCATATCACACACACACACCCCTAGGAGGGGCCTGAGGAGTCCTAGGTAATGGGGGGTGATGGGGTTCCCACTCACTTCCAGAGACGAGCCCTTACCCGAATGCAGTGAGACATATAATTGAACACTGTGGCTTTGAGGGTGAAGGCTTCTCCCCGAACCACAGAGTAGGGGAGGGTGAGTTCCAAGAAGAAGGGCTGGAAGACTGTGAGAGGGATGGTTGGGGAGAGCCCAAGGCCAGTATCTCCAGACAGGCAGATTGCACTGGCTTTCCACTCAGTGATGGAGTCAGGGACCTTCACGGCCAGCTCACTGCCGCCCGATGCACTGGTGTGGAGAGAAAAGGACAGGGAAAAAAACCCAGAATGTGGTAACTCAGAAAACAAGTGTAGTAAACACAGGACTAAGGGACTAAGTCTCAGGGCTTGAGGCTTCTATTGGGGGGTCTCTGGAAGTCCTCCCCATCTCTCCCCTCCATTCTTACTTTTTTCTCCACTCCCTCCCCTTTGGCTTTGTCCCCCACCTCCCCCAGGGGAAAAGACAGCTTCCAGTTTTCTGTTACTTTTGTAAACTGGGAACCACATGATGGGGAGAAGAATTGTTTCGCTGTGAGAGTCGTGAACTGTAGAACTTGGTTCCTGAAAGGATCAGGAACCACGGATGACACCAAAGTCCCAGAGCAAGACTCACACTCTCACCTACGCTAAGTCCCCGGGGGCACTCAACTCACTCCAGTGGCACCATGTCCCAGATCCAGGTTTCCGGGAAGTACTTCCGCACTGTCTCTCTTACTTCCACCACTGGAGCATTTTCCATCATGTCCATTTCGTAGCTCGTTGTTCTGAAGCCCCCTCTTGAGGCTGCTACCATAGGCAAGGCTTGTGGTGACAAGGCTTGTGAGAAGACAACAGAGAAGCCCCACAGTGAGACCCGTTCTCGCAACGGAGTTTGAATGGTTGTTTGTCTAATTAGAAGAGGGTCGTCTACCCAGTAGTCACTTTTTTTATATTTTTATATATTTTTCTTACTTTGTGTATTTTATGCATTTGTTCTATTGCTTCTATAGAGGTGAGTATATTTGTCTTTACAAAGCAAACACAGCTTTCTCTAAGACGGCTGTTCCCCTGAACTGATAGGTCTCTCACTGGCATTGGCAGTGAACATCAAAGATCAGGAAAGGAAATTAGCTGCAGCAAGGTTTCGGAAACCTGACTCATTTAACAGTGCACAAGACAGAGAGACACAAGCGGCAAACAGTAGGATCTTGGAATGTGTGTGCTACACACCCTAGCCTTGGACACGGATCTCAGCTCTGGATGGGGCTGTGTCATCCAGCATGGAGACTGGGGAAACACTGGCAACAGTGAAAAGGTCTCTGACCATGCCACAAGTAAAAGCTAATCCACAATCAAAGGTGCAAGGGATCTGAGCTGTTCTCTCAGTTTGCATCATCGCTTTCGCTGTAACCTTGGATCTGAGCATACAACACGTGTACTTTGCACTGCCTGTCACTGCTTGATATTCCCTGGCCCAGATTCCATACTGTTGTGTGCTGGGCACTGCAGCAGTTTTAGTCTCCTCATAAAGGTTTCTGCCCGACACAGAAGCATAATGGCTTAATTACAAAAACAAATAGTTTTAATATTTTCCTTCTAGCACACAGGCATCAGGTTAGTCCGTCTCTGGAGTTTATCATTTAGAAAGTCTGAATTTTAAAAACTGCTGCTATTTGAGTTGTTGACTTGAGTTCGATAAACAAACAAACAAAACGGTCCAATGAATTTTAGCGTGGAATTACGCACAAAACAGCTAATCATTTCTGAAATGGCCACAAACATGCATCTGCTATTTTTTCTTTACTGTGTTTTTATGTGAAGTGCCACTCTCAGCATTGCCGAGTAGAAAGCTAACATGTCAGCCAAGGCTGAAACACACTGAAGATGCTTCAGATCCTGTAGTATCTGATATCCATCCACAATTTAGTTCTTTATGCAAGATAGACAAGCATATTCATCTCATTAGCATGTAAATTTGCTTTTGTTTTTAGTAAATGGTGTACCAAAGAATCGTTCTAAAATAAATTTCTTCTTTTTTTTTTGTTTTTGTTTTTGTTTTTCGAGCCAGGGTTTCTCTGTGTGGTTTTGGAGCCTATCCTGAAACTCCCTCTGTAGACCAGGCCGGCCTCGAACCCACAGAGATCTGCCTGCCTCTGCCTCCCCAGTTCTGGGATTAAAGGCGTGTGCCACTAACACCAGGTTTAAAATAGATTTCTTTGTCCTTCACTGTTATTATACATTTTATATTCTTAGCTATTTGATGCAGCTTACTTGCTAGGGTTATATTTGAAAAGAGGCTACAAGTGCACAAAGTTTAACAAGTCCGTTATACACCATGGGGATCAGCTGTAATCTTCACTACAGCTGGTCCTCGTGACTTCACCACAGGCAACTTACTGTGATCATTGGTTGATGGGAAGCCAAAGAGGGGAGGGAACTCCAGAGAAACAGCTGTGCAAATGTAACCACAAAGGTGGGAGGCACCTTCAGAGGTTAATGAAAAGTCCCTCTAGGGTAGAATGTTTATTTCAGGTGTGTGCTTACCGTCGTTAAGCAATTATAGAATAAAACACCATGGAGGTTAGGACAAAGGCATCTTTTAAGGCAAGACTCAGTGAGACAAAAGAAATAGACTCACAAATAGCTTCTGTGTGAGCCTAAAGAGAAGCAGCATGAAGCTCAGCCCCTGAGTTGGAGTGCTGGCTGTGGGCCGGAGCCTCAGTTGCTGTCATGACTGACTTAGGCATGGTGTCTACAGAGGGGATATGAAAAATTGAGATGATTGACATCTAGGATAAAAAGGCCAATTTTGCCAAGAGAAGGGAGAGAGGGGAGAGAAGTGGGGAGGGGAGAGGACATGGGAGGGAGGCAGGAAACCAGTAATGCTATCTGAGTTCTATTTTTGGCAGAGGATGTGACTTGTGTATACATTGCCAAAGGAGTGGAGTGGACCCTAAGATGTATGACTAGGATGTGTACATATATGTATGTGTGTACATATATATGTATATATATTTATGTATCCTTTGAGCTCCCACCCTATCCCAGAGAACCACCGTTTTTTTGCTCCCATTTTTCTAGCAGACAAAGAAATCACACATTTACCATAGGCTACAGACATTCCTGGATAGGCTTGAGGCAGCTGGCAAAAGCGTGGTTTGTGGATTTTGGAGTTGGTAAAGACTTTTAATCCTATAGACTGGAAAAATATTACATGTTAAAGCATATTGGAAAATCCAGGGAGGGGGTTTAAATTGTTCTCAGCTAAGAGCAGACCTCTAGAGGAACAGTTGTATATGTTTTTTTTTAAGGTAAAAACAAGAAATTTTAGTCTATTTTGATAGGATAAAAGTTAATTCACAATCTGGATATACTTCACTCTCATAGCTCAGCTTAGCTCTAATTAATCTTGAAAACATACATTGGAAACAGGCTGATACATCTAAAATGGGTTTTATTAATAAGACCAACCATTGACAAATGGGACCTTGTGAAATCAAACAGCTCTTCAAAACAAAGGAACCAGTCAATTGACCATGAAGGCACTGTCTATAGAAGGGGAGAAAATCTTGTCCAACTGTACATCTTATTAATGTCTATAATAGATCTATAATGGGATCAATATCTAGAATGTATAAATAACTAAAGAAACCCCTAAACAACAAGAAATCAAACCACTAGGGAAACAGGTTAATAAAGTTAACAGATAGATAGTTCTTAAAAGATAAAATGTAAGTAGGCAATAAACACATGGAACATGTTCAGCTTCCCTACCTATGAGAGAAATGTAAGTCAAAACCATACTGAGATTCCATATTAGTCCAGTCAGAATGGCAGTCAATAAGAAAAAAAAAAAAAACAGTGAATACTGACAAGGAAATGGTCACAAGAAATCCCTTATACGCTGCTGGCGGCAGTGTAAACTAGTCCCGTCACTACAGAAGTATGGAGGTGTCTCAAAAAACTAAAAGGAGATCGATTTTCCATCTGACTCCACTACCCCTTACCCAAAGCACTGCAAACCAGCCTATCACAGAGACACTTGCATCTCAGCATTTATTAAATCACTGTTTGCAATAGCTGACTTATGGAATCAACTCGAGTGCCCTGAAACACAGGCGTGGATAAGGGAAAATACATATCTATGCACATACACACATAGATACATACATACATGAAGTTTTCAGCCATAAAGAACAACAAAGCCATGCCATCTGCAGGAAAATATATGCAACTGGAGATAATTCTATTACGTGAGCTAAACCAGTCTCAGAAAGAAAAATATTACATGTTTTTAATGACTATGTTTTCTCTCATTTGTGGTTCTCAGACTTTATAAAGATACATAAAGTCCCATCTGCATATATTAATGAAAGTAGAGGCAAAGAGGTCTGGGGGACAAAGGGGACTCATGGGAAGCAGGGAGGGGTGAGAAAAGGGAGGTTGAGACCATACCTGGGGACTACGATCAACACACAATGTATATACAGATACTTTAGAAACTTTAAAGAATTTATTGTGCACAGGTCATATTACAGCTGCCAAGAAGGTACTCATATGTTAGTCTCTAAGATATATGTATGTATATATCTACGTATCTACATATCTAGATGCAGAGAGAAACAGTAAACCACTCATTGCTGAAGGTACCAGAGAAATCCAGGTAGATATGTGTGTGCACGAAGTAACCATGCCTCTGAGATTCTTTTCTGTTGATGATTGCTGTGCCAGAGAGGGAAGTGCTCTCTCCGATTGTGAGGCTCCTGGACTTTGCATCTTAACACAGACTTACAAATCAGCTCTGGTGAGTTTCGGGGGGATTACCTCAAAAACGCTGTTGGCGTCGTCATCCCTCAGGTCCTGCTTTGGCGTGTACACAATCCCATTGTGAGTGATTTCATCCGCATTCAGGCACTTTTCATCGTATCCATGCATTGAGCCACCCTGGGGAGACTTTACTGGCAGCAATTTATAGATCTGGAAGTTGGAAGAGAACAAAGGGAAACCGTTTCTTGTTGTACTGTTTAGAGAATTTTAGATGTGACAATGCCCAACGTGGAATTTAAACCACCATGGTTGTATTCACCCTTGCTATGTGTATGATATAAGGGATGAGGCAGGGAAGCGTAGAAAGAGGCCCAATGTCAACGTTTTTAATCCTCTTGTGCACAAATGCAGTATTTAAGGGGCTGACGGGATGGGGGTGTTGCTCAATTGGTAGAATGCTTGTCTAACAGGCATGAAGCCTTGGATTTCATCCCCAGGACGAAACCAGGCATGCTGGTGCGGGCCGGTAATCCCAGCACTTGGGAGATGGGGGCCTAGAATCAAAAACTTGAGGTCATCCTTAGCTGTCTTATGAGTTCAGTGATATCTCAGCTATAACAGATTCTTTAAAAAAAAAAAAAAACAATTGAAGTGAATTTGCCAGAATTGCCAAATGCAGAAGAATATGAAGACGAGAGCTAGAGGCTGGCAGTTTTCAGGTTGTGGTGTAGAGGGAGGATGGATGGATAATGGGTACCCGGAGACAACTGAATCCAGACGCAAGAAGCGGAGGGCACCTGCTGGCAAAGACATCGCAAAGCCAGTACAGAAGGCAGGGATGCTTCTTTGAAAACGCAAAGATGTCTTAAAGACGTGTGAAAAGAAACTGCTTGTCCATTCTTAAGACCAGTAAGTGCTTGGTGTCAGGAAAAGCAGAAAAGCCAGGCATCTTACATAGTCATTGAGTTGTGACAGGTTAGCAAGTGGACTGGAAGAAATTAGTTTCTCTAAAACATATCGTCACATCCTATCTTCATAATTAACACATCCTATTTGTGTTTTGTTATTCATAACATAATAGGACCTATCCTAAATTATTATTCACTGGTTAAGAAATACCCCGAGTAAAACGAGATGGATTCTGCAATGCACTTTGCTCAGTGACTGTTAGGGAATTACTTCACATTTATCACTCTGAGGATCTCGTCCTTTGTGGTTATGGTTTGCAGAAAGGGTCTTATGTCATCCTTCTCCCAAGACCACAATGGGACTCACTGACTGAGGCGAGAGCTCGGCTTCCGGCTTCAGTAGCAGCACGCTCTGGTCTACAGCACGGAGGGCGCAGAGGGACAGGGGCGTACCTGTGACCTTCAGGTGGGCGTCAGAGGCTGGCAGGCTCTGCGCTGGTGAGAAACTCAAGTTTACCTGCAAAGAGCATGTGATTATAGCAATATCTTAAAAAGAAAGAAAACATGACAGCCTTGACTCTTTCCTCCAGCCCATGCTGCATTTTCACTTCCCCTTTCTTTTCCTGTCTTAGAGCAGGTTTACAACAGGGACTTTTCTAGGAACTCTGCTTTCAACATCCACAGAATGACCTGGAGGTGTGGCTCGGGCTTGCTTGGTTTTTATTTCTTTCTGTAACCGGTGGGAAGTTGATGTCGATCCCACCGAAATAGAACCTAGAATGGTCTTGAAAACACTCCTGAGAAGGAAGACTCAAACCTTTGGTGGCTGAGCTTGTCTGTGTAAGGAGTTGGTGAGATGAAACACCTGACCACCTCCAGTCATGGTCACGTGACATTCCAAAGTAGGGCAGTACTGATGGCCACCTGGGATTTACTGGGCGATCAAAAATTAAATATCTACTATATATTTTAAGGTGTATGCTGGGAAATTAAAAAGCTCATTAAAATTAAAAAAAAACATCGGAATGCTTAGTGGAAGAACAGAACAATGGGGAATCATGCAGAGTTTTGTTAGAGTTTTGATTGTGCTTTGCCTCATAGAAAGTCATGGGCAAGGGAAGTGTTGGTTTCTTCCATTGATGTAGGTATTTCTTAAGTTTCCTCTCCTCCTGCTTGTTTGTTTTGTCTTATTCCAGTGTGTTAGTTTTTGCTTTATCTTATTTTGTCTTATTATTTTTCCTCCGAAGCCTGTTCGTTTTCTAACTCAATCGTCAGTACGCTTAGTGAAATTATTTTGCTCAGGTCAGTGAATTTCACTGCAACAAGGGGGCAGTTTGAAATCATGCTGTCACGAGACCGGCATTTGGATATCTCAAAATCACCTGCTATGAAAACACCACCTCTGGAGACTTCCAAGCATCTTTTTAGTTTTAGAAAAGTTAAGTTCATTAAAATAAATTCATGTCTATGTCAAGCGAACAAGTTAGCTATTTGAGAGTTTGGTCAATGGAAAATATTATTTGCCAAGAAATGGGTATGTTGGGAAAATTCGAAATTGCTTACTGCCACAATAATCAGCATCGTCTCTAATGGTTACATCTATTGAGACTAATAGTCAAAAATGTGGGGTGGGGTTTCAAAAGAAAAGAGTTACTTATCCTTTTATTATAATGGGGTTATATGATGCAAAATGCCCAAAAGCCTGATGATTTGACACTTGAGACACTTTTGCTTTGTGTTTCTTAGGAGAAAGGACTTGCAGGGATGCAGGTTAGACCACAAAGTCCATCACATCTGACCTGAAATACCTCATGCGCCACCTTCATTCCACCTTAGCCGCATGGAAAATCATCTCATGTGGGCTATGTGACTCCATAGTAGAGGAAGAAGACACCGTGGCATGGCAGCTGTTCGTCTCAGGGACTGAGCTGTTGCAAGCACTGGATTCAGAACCATTTTTCTGTTTTTCACTCGACTTATTTTTAAATGAATTTGAGACAGGGTCTTGCACATATCCCAGGTCGGCTTTGAACTCACTACCTACCCAGGCTCCTGCTGAAGCCCCCAAGTGCTGGGATCGGATCAGAGGCGTCCACCGTGCCTGACTTGTGTTGTTTCTCTTACTTATGTCTCTACTATATGCAAATGTTTTCGGGGCTGGCTGCCAGAAAGACTAATACATATTTAATGTGTACACACTGTCTTAAGGGAAGGCATTTTAAATGGAAAAACAGTTTTTCTCTGTCCAATAAAAGATTGAGAAAAATATACTGGTTTGAAGAGACACATCCCTGTCTGTCTCACTCTTAAGGCCCCTCTTTGCTCACCACCCCTTCAGAGCCTAAATTGGTAACTCCACTAGACCTGGCTTTTTTTTTTTTTTTTTTTTTTTTTTTTTTGTGGCAGTCAGCATTCTCGTGAGCACTGTGTGAGTCTTTTTTTGTGTGACTGTCAGTGCTTTCCATCAACTTTGATCAACGGTGAGTGAAAAGGCATTGGATTTGAAGTGAATATAACTTTAAATGGACTTTAGCTTCTATTGAGAATTTTTGTGGTGTTACACAGAGGTTTCCAATGCTTGGCAGAAGCAGAGGCATTTTTTTTTTTTTAATTCCAGATTTGGTTCTGAGTAGAAAGTAATCTTTCTGTCAATTATATGCTGTCAGATAGCTTCAAGTCTGGAGCATGAAGAGATAAGACCGACTCACCAGCTAGGGACTGCTGCCCACTGCTAGAGCCAGGTGAGCCAAAAGGTTAACCCTCCCAAGATCTCCCGCACAACCACACGTGGCCCACAGTGGAAGAGCCTGGAGGCTGATGCAGGAGGCTTAATTGATATGAAACTCGCAGAAGACCCAGACAGAACCTACACCATGCTCCTGACACAATGTCCAGCTTTGACAGTGCTCCTTAGGTGGAGGTGAAGGCTTATATAGCATTCCACACAGCCTTTTGCTTAGATCACTGCACATGAAGGCATGTGTATATGTGTATTGTGAAAATAGTCACCACAGCAGAAGTGTCCACTCGCTGTAAATAGACATTATCTTCCCAGTTACAGTTTTGAAAAGAAAAGTGGCTGAAGTTGACAGAGCCCTTTGATCATTAATTCAAAGAGTATTCTACCAGAATAGTAAAAAAAATCAGACAACCAGTGCCAATTGTACTCTGGTAAAAAGAACTTAGTGGGACTCACACTACAGCTTTATAGTCTTTAAAAATAATAAAGATCTCATTGACAAGTTAGTGTTTTATATTTAATCCTTATTAGATTGTCAAAAACCTGCATACTTTCCTGTCTGTATTAAGGAGCTCAATTTAAACTCAAAGGAACACACTCTTCTGCAGTGAATGGAAAGGCGGTGTGTCTGGGGGTCAATGGGACAAGGTTGACACAGCTTGGTGAAACAGCATTTTCAATGGAAAATTGGTAACAAAATATTTTGAAATAATTTAAGAGTTTGACACAGGACCTGGAGAGATGGTTTAGCAGTTAAGAGCACCGGGTTTACTTCCCAGCACCCACACAAACTGCTCACAGCTACCTGTAACTTTAGTTCCAGGAGATCCTGTGGCTTCTTCTGGCCTTGTATACACAAGTCTCACAACTATAGTGAGACTCCAGAGAATTAAGGGCTTCTATACTTGTATAACAAGTGCACAGACATACATCTGGGTACGACCCCCACAAGCATCAAATAAAATGACAACAATAGATATATTTTAAAGTTTGCTGTAGAATAGATTTTGAAATCCACATGAGTCTTTTAAATTAAAAAAATTCTGCCTGTGGCCAGCCACCTGCTTTGGGCAGTGCCACTAGACTATTAAAGTGTGACTCCTCTCACTAACTTGAGAGATACTTAGGGGGAAAGTTGAAAGAGCCCTGTGTGGTGGTTTTAAAATGGATATTAAGCCAGCTATGGTGTGCATGATTTTAATCCCAGCATTTGGAAGGCAGAGGCAGGTGGATATCTGTGAGTTCAAGGTCAATCTGGTCTACATAGTATGTTCCTGGGCATCTAGGGCTACATTGAGAGACCCTGTCTCAAAAAATTAAAATAAGTATTACTTATTTATTGTCCACACTTATAAAGGATAGAATAAAAGGATTGGGCTTAGACATAACCACCCACCTTATTGGCAAAACAGTTTTCAATTTCGAGTTTCTGAGTGTCGGCGACAACTTCTCCGTCAGGTAAGATGGCGTAAATGAGCAGTTGGGCCACAGGAGCCATGCCTGGCTCCACTTGAAGTGGGAAGGAAAATGTCCCTTTTGCTGGAGAATGGAGAAGATTCGAGATCACAGATTAGGAGTGGATTCTCTATTTTATGTCAGAACAGTTCTTAGAATCTTTGAGAATTCATATTTGGGTCCCCTAAGACGCACTTGAGCTTCCACCACCTTGTGTGGAGTAGTGCTCGACAAATGCATGCTGAACAAATGGCATTTTTACGGGTACTGCTTTAATCCTGTCCTCCAGGGAAGCAGGAAAAACCGCTTACTCTAAGGCTCTATTTCTAAAGGTTTTTATATTTTATTTTATGTGTATGAGTGTTTTGCCCTCATGCGCATCTGTGCAGCATCTGCGAGTCGTGCCCACAAATGTCAGAAGAGGGTATCGGATCCCTTCGAACTGGAGCTACAGATGGTTGTGAGCCACCATGTGGGCACTGGGAATTGAATCTGGTCCTAGAAGAGCAGCCAGTGCTCTTAGTCACTGAGCCATCTCTCCAGCCCTTTATGTTTATTTCAAAAACAGATATCACAACTATAGTGAGACTGCAGAGAAATAAGGGCTGCTATAGATCTAAGAAAACCCCACGGTGAGCCTGGCGTTAGAGTAGGGAATGCTTCGTCTTTATCAGACTGGTAGAATTCTGATGCTAACAGTACTCGAGGAAGTGTGCACAGTGAGAGTCATGGTCTAGTAGGCATCTTAGTGAAGACTTAACATGGAATAAACAGATGGATACGGAAAACACAGAGACTCAAAGTAGTGCCAGGGGTTTGGAGATCCAAGATGGTGGCTGGAGGCAGCCATCAATCAATCACTACTCCAGCACAGGAAAAATCACATCAACCAGAGAGCAGCTGCTCCCAGGGATGGACACCTGTGGAAGCATGCTACGTTCAGAAGTGAAGGCACAGCCTACTCAGTCAGGGAAATGCAAATCATACGTACACTGAGATTCCCCTTCATTACAGCCAGAATGGCAAAAAAGAAGACACAAACAGCTCACATGCTAGCAAAGATATCTAGGAGACGGCAGTTGGTGAGAATGTGAGTTAGTACCGTCACTGTGGCAAACAACATGGAGGATCCTCAATAAACAAAAATAGAATAATCATATGAACCAGCTATGCCACTCTTGAGCGTTTATCAAAAGGACATGATATCAGCATTCAAAAGAGACACCTAAATATCCGCACTAACTGTGGCTCTGTTCACTACCACCAATATACGGAGTCGACTTAAGTATCCATCAATGGATGGATGGGCAGGAAGGTACCGTGCATTTAGACAGTGGAATATCATTCAGCCACAGGAATAACGAAACTACGTTACCACCAGGACAGTGGGTGCAACTGGAGGACGTTATGTTAAACAAAACAAGCCAGATAAAGAGATTAGTATTGTGTGGTTTGTTTCTCTTACGTGAGGAAATATGACTCAAAACTATAAGAAGAGTCCCGGGGGGGAAGGGGAGAGGAGGGTGGGTAAGAGAATGGAGGCCAAGGTAAGTCCATACACGCTTGGAGACAACACTGTAAAACCCATTAATTTGCTTGACCAATAACTATTGATGATTACAATGACGAATTCAAAAAACTGCTGCCAGTGAGGGATGTTGGAGGAGGGGGATTCTTGATGTACCATGGCAGAAATTCTAGCCGAACTGTGTCCTGAAGTTATGTGGAAAGCAAAGATAAAGGTGTCTAGAGAGAAGCACTGATGTCTGACCTGGCTTCTTCCTGCTATGATGGGGAAGTGATAACAGAATTGTTCACCATGAAGCCAGCAGGAGTTGATAAGGAAGATAATTTTTTTTGGAAACTATCACATTATTTAGCTTCTAAGGAACACAGAACAACTTCTGGAAATTGCACTCTAGAGAGAGAAACCGCATGATGGACACCCTCTTGCTAACATGATAGAAAAGTAAAAATGCCACCATGTTCAGTCACAAAACTCTCTCTTCAAAATCCTTTTGAAGAGATTATTTGTGTGACTCACAGAGTCCCCACTCATCTCAACAAAAGCCAAAATGAGAGGTGGAATTATCCAGGAAAAGTCTATGGTGAAACCTCTTACCTAGGAGGATACATAATATCCTTTGTCTAGGAGAATGTATAATATCCTTTGTCTAGGAGGATATATAATATCCTTTGTCTAGGAGGATACATAATATCCTTTGTCTAGGAGGATACACAATATCCTTTGTCTAGGAGGATACATAATATCCTTTGTCTAGGAGGATATATAATATCTTTTGTCTAGGAGGACGTATAATATTCTTTGTCTAGGAGAATGTATAATATCCTCTGTCTAGGAGGATATATAATATCCTTTGTCCAGGAGGATATATAATATTCTTTGTCTAGGAGGATGTATAATATCCTCTGTCTAGGAGGATGTATAATATTCTTTGTCTAGGAGGATTATGATATTGTTGTGGCATACAGGAGCCTGGCATGATACCTAAGGAATTTATCCTAAAAGAGACACTGTCATAAAAGGAACAGAGGGTACACGAAGGGAGAGCGTTTGATCCCTCTAAGTATAGACACAAAACCAGTGGCAAGCCTGAGCTGTGCTTGGTGGGAAAGGAAGGGTGGTTGCCAGTTAAGAGTCAATTGAGAGGACAGAGACACTAGCCAAGGAGGACTGGTAGCTATGTTGGACTCTGGGGCTGTTTGTTTCGGTGGATTTCATATCTCTGCAGACCAGCGGTTCTCAACTTCCCTGATGTTGTGACCTTTTCATACAGTCCCTCATGTTGTGGTGACCCCCAATTATAACATTATCTCATTGCTACATCATAGCTGTAATTTTGCTATTGTTATGAATTGTAATGTAAATATCTGATATTCGGGACAGCTGATAAATGACCCCCAGAGGGGTTGTGACCCACAGGTTGAGAAACGCTGCTCCAGAAAGATGCTTTTTCTCCTTGGCATGGATTACATTTATGCCTAATTTAGAAGATTTGAGATGATAAAATTTGGGACTGCTTTGCTGAGTATGATATGCGAGATTTGGGGCTTACATCATGGCTGTGATGGATTGAGGTGTTTGTTGATGGAGAGACTGAATTTGACTTGTTTGATGCATGTGTAGTTCTTGGAATGACTATGATTAAGCAGAGTTTTAACCCAGATATCAGATCCCAGAAACCTTTGAGTGTGTTATCTTATGTGGCAATAAAGCCTCTGCAGATGCTAAACCAGGATCCTGAGATGTGAAAATTGGTTTGAATTATCCAGGTGGAGTGAGGGTCGTTATGAGGACAGTTATAAAAAGGGGGTCGTGAAAGGCAGGTGTGATTTGAAGACAGAGTGCTCCTGGCTTTGTAGGAAAAGGAAGGGATTACCAATCAAGGCTGGCAGAGACAAGGACATTGGGTCTTTTCTAGCGTATCTAAGGCAGCCCTGCCAATACTGTGACTTGAGCCCAGTGAGACTTCTGAACAGAAATATGATACGTGCCAGGAAGTCTGTGGTATCCCACAGGGCAGCAATAGGTGTCTGACACACAAATACATAAAGTTTTCTTTGGTCATTTTCTTTTTTAAATTTTTGTGGGTTGTGTTCTTTTTTGCTTTTTTAAGCTAATTATGAATTTAATATATCTTATTTCAGGAATAAAATCCTAAAATGCAGCAGTGTCCAGAGAAGCTTCCTCACTGGGTAACTGAGAGCTGCCATGCACTTCCTGTGATGTGAAAGAGGTTCCAGCATGCTCAGATGCTGAGGGTTTGGCAAGATGAGAGGGTATAAGAAGAGGGGAAGATGCTTACTGTTTCCTTGTTCAAGTGACAGCACGTGGCTTCCCGAGTTGAAGATGCTTCCCCTTGCTTTGGTCTGAAGACAGAAGGAAGTCCATCCATTATCATCGTAAGGTCTGCCTGCCTATCTCTAGGATACTCACAATGTATAGTTAACTCTCATATAACTCTTCCTATAGTATATATGTATGTATTAAATAACAAGTATATAATTTTGTGTTTTATTTTGTTCAATATTCACTATTCCTAGGAATGTGTGAAAAGTACATATGTATATAGTTTTAGCATCTACTGTATGTGAAGTATACAGTGGAGGCAAATGTAAAATGTAAGTATCCTTTGCTGTTACTCTTATTTTAAAATAAACAAAACTCATTCTCTGTGTGCCTGACTCTGAAATTAGGTAATTTGAACAATTCAATTTTTATAATAATTGCATGGAAACTATTGTTTCCAGTGTTCAGGTGAGATAAGTGCTCATTTTTTTTTTTTGAGGACAAAGTCTAGTAAATTATCCAAAGGTCCTAGGACTATGAAGAAATGCAACAGAAATGATAACTATTGTAAATTTGTTAATTGTTTATAGAAATAAAGAAGTATTATTTAGAGTCAATATTTCAGTGGTGAACAGGACAAATGATGAACTAACACATGAATAATTTCATAGAAGCAGTTTATCTTCCAGTGCAAAAAAACAAACAAAAAAACCTCCAATATTAACTAACACCGATGTCCTATAAAACCTGTTACTCTGAGAGGTATCTAGTAAATTTGGAGTCTGAACGATTAGAACTCATGCAGTGACTCTCATTCTTACCAGGTAGTAAAAGGTTAAGTCTTTTTCATCACTCAGGGTGTCTTTGTTCACGATGTAGTGCACCCGAATCTCCTGAGTTTGCCCACAGGACAAAGTACCAAGAACAAGTTCAAGATGAACGTAACTCTTGCTTGGGGAAAAGATCCGAGTTGCAGAATGGTGTGCTTGTGTGTGAAATTCATCAAGCCACCAGTTATCATAGCAGATATTGTTATCCTTGTAGATGACCTAGTGGAAAAAAGAATAGCATATTTGTTTAGTATCTATCTATCTATCTATCTATCTATCTATCTATCTATCTATCTGCCTACCTACCTACCTATATGGTATCTTTTTGTAAAAAGACTGTTTTCTTACGTTGATAACTGCTTACCCACCTCCCTTTTAAGATTATTTAAGCTTTTGCCAGGTGGTGATGGCACACACCTTTAATCCCAGCACTTAGGAGGCAAAGGCAGGTGGATCTCTGTGAGCTTGAGGCCAGTCTGGTCTACAGAGTGAGTTCCAGGACAGCCAGGGCTGTCTTGAAACTCTCTCCCCCCAGAGAGAGAGAGAGAGAGAGAGAGAGAGAGAGAGAGAGAGAGAGGAAGAAAGAAGGAACGAAAGGAAGAAGAAAGAAAAGAAGGAAGGGGGCATGCTCGTCACACTTGCAAGGCTCTTTGCTTTACTTATTAATTCTTTTATATTTTCATACCTATATTCTTTGATCAAGTCCTCCTGCTTGTTATTCTTTCTTATTCCATTAACCACCCCACTAAGTCTTTTCTTTCTGAGCCTATCTTCTATTTTTGTGCCTTTTCTTTTTGGTGTGTGACCCACTTGAGAGTTATTTGATTGCATGAGGGCAATGCACTCACCGAGGAATATGATTCCCATCCCCCTGCAACCTTTAACAATCAGCTCCTCTGGCAGGGTGGGGCCTTTTGAACCCCTTCCCATCCATCAAGAAGTGTTGATAGGCCCAGTTGTGCACAGGTCTTGTGCAGGTAGCTACTGCTGTGTCTTAAGGCTTTATTGCTTAAGATTCTTTGAATGTTCAAGCACAAACAAAAAATTGTATTATGCTAAAGGAATCAGGGACAATCTATCTGGTAATAGGATCTGAAAATATGAAAAACTTCAAGGCAGTACAAGGATGATCTTTCCCGTGTTCCTGAAGGCTGACCATGCTGTAAGTGTCCCCCGACAGAACTTTCCGGCCTTCATGATACGTTTCCAAATTGCTCAGTTTGTATTATTCCCTGCCACATTTTCTTTGGTCCCTAGAGATCATGCACCTCTCACACACCCTTAAGTTGTGTAGTCCCGTGACCTAAGGTGTTTCAGCCTCACATTCCCATTTCCACTTACCGCGAAACTTATGAATGACGACGTGAAGTTGGAAGTGTCAAGGACAATGTTGACCAAGCCATGCTCATCAGTAGTGAAAGTGGACTGGTACTGAGCTAGATCCACACGGACAGACACGTTTTTGTTGGGCATTGGCTGATCCTTCTCATCAACAAGTCGAACCTAGGAACAGGAAAGTGATAGCTGGTTACAAATGCCAGCTGGGCGCGACGTCTTTCCAGGCTGTTCTGTTTTCATCTCTGTCACACGCTCTGTCCCTGCCCTTTACGAGAGATCTTTGCATCTGCAAACGAGGCACTTACTGAGTTTTAAATTGTGATATTTCCTTTAAATATTCCTTATGAATTTTAAAGCTGACAGTTCATTTTTATTTTATTGTTTTCAAATTGATTTTACCTGAATTTTATTTTATGTGTATAGGTGTTTGGTCCGAATGGATGTCTGTGTGTTGTGTGTGTTCCTGGTGTCCTCGGAATTCACAAGAGGGCATCAGATCCCCTGAGTTCCAGGTGGTTGTGAGCTGACAGGTGGGTGCTGGGAATTGAACCTAGGTCCTCTGAAAGTGCAGCCAGTGTTCTTAATCACTGAGACATCTCCCCAGCCCCTTATTTTATTATTTTTAATTGAAAAACAATAACATACAGTTTCAGAGTACAATGTGATGTTTTGATAACTTCATTTAATATAGAATGATTGTATCTAGTTAATGAACCTATCCATCATGGCTTATGTCTTTTTTTTTTTTTTAATGAGATAGGATTTGTGCTGGTTAGTTTTTTTATTTATTTTATTATTTTAATTATTTAATTATTTTTTGCTTTATTATTTAATTATTTTAATTAAGCGCGTGTGTTTGTGTGTGTGGTGGTATACCACCACAAGTGCCCAGAGGTCAGAGGTGTCAGGTCTCCCTGGAGCTAGAGTTACAGATAGCTGTAAGCTGCCCGATGTTGTTGCTTACAGATGTCTGCTCCTCTCTCTCTCTCTCTCTCTCTCTCTCTCTCTCTCTCTGTGCTGCTCTTTCCTCTCTCCCACTGCTCCTGTCCCTGGAGGCCAGTCTCCCTCCTCCCCTTTCCCTTTTTTACGATTCCTTTCCTCTAATAAAATCCCTCTGCTTGAACTCTGTTGCACGGTGTCTTTCTATCTCCTGCCATCTTTTTTTCCTCTGCTGCTTTTTAAAAATTATAACACCCGTGATGGCCTTGCCAAACCCCAACATACTTCTCAGTGTCTTTTCCAACTTGATATGAAATATTAAAATGAATGAGGAAAGCATAAAAGTCAAACTCATATATAAAATTCCAAATATAAATGAGAAAGTTGCTCATATACTTAGTCCAAAGATTATTTGATATGAAAGTAAACTTGAAAAATGCCTAAAACCTTAGCTATATTATATAAAAAGACATAAGTGGTTTGCTCAATTGTATTATGCGCCCTAAAACTTACTAACATTGCTGTTACAAACATTGAGTTAGCACTGAAAAAGAATTCTTTCAAATTTTTTAGTAATTAAAAATTTCATCATCTAGATGAAAGATTGTTGACATCTCTTGGACATTGAATGTCTCCCAAAGGCTTGGATCCCAGTGTGGTGCTACTGGTAGAAGGGGCTGTTTGAAGTTCTTGGGTCATTGGGAGTATGTTGTCAAAGGAGACTGGAATCTTGGCTCTCTCCCCTTTTTGTCATGAGAGGGAGAATTTCCTCCACTGTAATGTATGGAGGATGTATGTAATGTATAACACAAGTCATAAGGGCCTGAGACTTCCAAGATTCTGGGCCAAATAAACTTTTTAACCTATATAAGCAAATGGTCTCAGGTATCTTGTTATAGTAATGAAAAGCTAATTAACAATTACTTTAAAAAATCATTTCTGTGGAAAACTGCATTAGAAAAGCTTTCTTTATAAAGAGGGCATCAAAGAGATTATAGCCAAACTACATAGAAAAAAATACATTAAAGAGTTATGTAAGGAAGTTGATGATTTAAAAATTACTATGTTTTCTAAAAATTCACTATCCTTGATAAATGTGAAATTTGCCATAGTTTCTTTTTCTAAATAATTGTTGTAATATACTTTTGCAATCAAACATTTTCTCTTAAAAATCTTACGCCTGGGTTTGTGGAGATGCCTCGGGGGATGGAATGCTTCTTGGGTGTGCATGAGGGTTCAGATTTCCAGCAATGATAATTGCTCAATGGACACGGCAGCCTTCCTATGATTCCAGAGCTTGGAGTGTTGGGGCACATCCAAAGCAAGCTGGCTGGCTAGAGTAGCCAGAGCTGTCATGCTTTGCGTTCAGGTGAGAGACCCTGCCTCACTTAAAGTGAACAACGCCTGAGGAAGACTCCTGATGTCAACCTTGAGCCTCCCTGCATTCACATGACAAGCACACAGTACCCACATACATGTGTGCCTATACTCATGTGAAGATGAATACACATGCATGTGTACCACCATCACACAAATACAAACACATAAGAGTATTTCATGCCCCTAAGTGTGATTATGGGGAAAATATTTTACCTGCCCAAAGAAAGGTAGCCCAGGCCTGTAGTGTGAATCCACTTTAGTAAACGTCAGTTTGCTTAAGGTGTTTGTTATTTCACATGATCCATAACCAGATAGTTCCAGTCCTGAAAAAAAAAGTGAAGTCAGTTTTCTGTATCCCAAACTCTCCTTCTAGCTCCACCTCAGCGCTCCTCCATTATTGCAGGGTGCCACAGTGATCTTTGAATAGTTTTATGAGGTGTCATATCCAATAGTTTTTATTTATCCCGTATCGTGTTAGCCTTATTTTTTTTTAAATTCAGTTCATTTAGACCATTATCAACTATATCTGAAGCTAGCCATGGTTTTCAGAACCACATATGAGCTTCCGTTGCCTGACTCAGTTTCCCCCATTCTGAGAATGAGTGTGCTTTCCCCTGCTCATCACTTGTCTTTCAAAATGTCACTCACCCTCCACACAGTGCAGCAAAAGATAGCTTAAGGGTTCCCCTTCTGCCTCTGAATTAGAATGAGCCACTTCTCTTCATATCCACTTTTCCTTACATTCCACATTCCTTATGGAAATTTGACCACACACCCACACACACACACACACACACACACACACACACACACACACACCTCTTCTTAAACATTTAATTTCTTGAGATCAGTGACCTGTCATTTTCCTAATATGCAGAAGCTATAAAGTATTCCAAATGGAATGGAATATTGGTAAATTCCCACTCAATTGACATTTATTAAATGAAACAATACAGACCTGTTCCCTCCTCTTTGACTTTGGCTTCCACTTGTATTTTCATGTCATAGCCTTTTTGTCTTGGCTGAAATACCTTGGTTTTTATAACTTGACTGAAACATCCTTTATCATCTGCCTGAAGAGAAGGGAAGAGAGTTCCCAAGTTCTCTGATTTGCAATCGAAATGACAGTCATAAATTTGCAAAAACATTTTAAGTATTCAGATACCTATTCGGTGTAGTTGGCTTTTTTACTCTTTGGGGGGCCTCTCACACAGTTCCCAAATAAATACATGGAGACTTCTTCTTACTTATGAATACCGGACTTAGTTTGGCCTGTTTCTAGCCAGCTTTTCTAATTTAACTTAAATTATCCTGTTTGTCTTCTTCTATGTTCTGCCTCTGGGCATTTTACCTTTCTTTATTCTCTATATCTTTCTTTCCTTCTTACTCCGTGGCAGGCTGTGTGGCTGGACCCTGGTGTCCTCTTTTCCTTATTATTTTCTCACTCCTCTCTTCCCTAGATTTCACTCCTACTTATTATCTCTGCCCACCAGCCCTGCCTATACTTTCTCCTGCCTTGCTATTGGCTGTTCAGCTCTTTATTAGACCAATCAGATGTTTTAGACAGGCGAAGTAACACAGCTTTACAGAGTTAAACAAATGCAACCTAAAATAATGCATTGCATCTTTGCATCATTAAACAAATATTCCACAGCATAAACAAGTATAACATATCTTAACTAATATTCCACAACAATTTGATGTGTATCCTTTCCCAACCCTAAGGATGAACGGTTTCTTTGTTAATCTCTGCATTATTTATAGCCAGCCTTTGCCTCCCCTCTCTTCTAAAAATGGAACTTCTTCCTAGTACATCAATTCTCCTAGACTTTCCAAGTGTGCCACAATATTTTGTAACTATAGCTCTTTGTGTATGTTGCTTCTCAAATGATATCTTTCTTTGTCTCCATTCTTCCCTTGGCCAACAGTCCCTGCTTCTCAAAACTCAACTCAGGCATAACATTTTCCAAGAGGCTTCCATAACCACCTCTAGCTCAACACTGACTGTGGGTTGTGTACTCTTCTTGTATAATATATTTAAATATATTGGTCTATACTCACTATATATGGTAGTGGGTTTTATCAGAACATTTTCATGCAAGTACCTGATTTACTTTGAACACATTCTCCCCTCTCTCCTCTTCCTACTCCCTCCCTTAGTTTCCTGTTCTCCTTGGTCAGTGGTTCTCAACCCTTTGGGGGTTGAATGGTCCTTCCATAGGGGTCATGTAAGACCATTGGAAAACACAGATACTTCAGTTATGTTCATAAAAGTGGTAAAATTATATTTTTGACATAGCAATGAAAATAATTTTATGGCTGGGCGTCATCACAACACGAGGAACTGTATTAAAGGATCACAGCATTTGGAAGGTTGAGAACCACTGGTCTACAAATTCTGCTTCTACTTTCATATCATATGTAAATGCTTGCATGATTTCATGTATTTATATAAAAGATGGGATCCACAAGGGAGAGCAAAACATGTGATGTTTGTTTTCCTGAGGTTGACTTAACTCTCTTAACACGATTATCTCCCATTGTGTCCACTTTCCTGAAAAATTGCACAATTTGACTCTTGTTTATGGCTGGAAAAAATCTCACTGTGCAGATCGCACCACATTTTCTTTATTCATTCCTCCATACCTACCGTGACCGATGGTGTAATAACTGGGAGTGCGAGCATCTCTGTGGTGTGTTGACTTAGAGTCCTTCAGGTAAATACCCAGGTACAGCTGGTCATACAATAGATCAATTTTTAATTTTTGAATCTCCATTCTAAATTCTTTAGTGGCTGGAGTAGCTTACATTCCCACTATACAAGAGTTTCCTTTTCTCTCTATACTTGCCAGCATTTGCTGTTACTTCACGGACAGCTAGAGTGTGGCTGGACTAATCTTGTTTATTTGTTTTTCTCGAGGCTTTGATCACTTTTATCACAGTCTCCATGCAGTGCATGCTTTAGTAGCTGCCCTTGAATTTTTAGGTGTTCTTCCTCTGAAGTCAGGGTCCATGTACCCGACTTTAAAAATTTTCATTTTATTTTGTGTGTATGGGTGTTTTGTCTGCATGTGTGCCTATGCACTACATGGGTGCAGTGCTCACGGAGGCTAGAAGAGAGCGTTGGATATTCCTGACAGGAAGTTGTGAGCTGACATGTGGATGCTGGGAATTGAACCTAGATGCTCAGCAAGAGCAACCAGTGCTCTTAACCACCCAGCTATCTCGCCAGGCCTACCAGTTTTTTGCAGACAGGTTCTCTTTCAGCCTTCACTGGCTTAGACCTCATTATATAGCCAAAGATGACCTTGAACTACTGTTCTTGCCTCTGATTCCCAATTATCAGGATTACAGGTGTGAACCTCCACACTCAGATACATCTAAGTGTGTCAGAGGCCGTGGGAGTTGCAGTAGGTGACAACTAGTTTTCAGATGTCAACCCACCAGAGGAATGATTCTCTGATGGAGGAGAATCCCATCTGGACAACACCTGTGGGACCACTGACCCTGGAAACTGTTGTTCCTCTCTGTAATTTCACATGTGCAAAAGCAGCTGTGGTGTCTCCCCAGTGGTAATCTCTTGATTGCATCTCAATCTTATGGGCACATGTATTTGTGAATGAACAGGAAGATGACTCCACATTAAGTGTGTAGTTTTGATATATAGAATATATACTAGGATATGCTTCATAACTAGATCTATTGTCCCACAAGGACTATAAGATACTTAAAATCCTGCTTGGTTTCTTTTACTCAAACAACACACAATTAGCTCATTTTCTACCTCAGAACAAATTTCAAACTAGACTGAATGCTTCTGAAATAGATCATCAGTTAAAAAACTTTACAGATATGCACAAGGTCAGAGTTGCAGATGTCTAACCAAGGTTATTAACACAAAGCAACCTAAAAAATCGTGCCAATTTTTCTCCTGCCAAGCCCGGCTGATGAAGACCTATGTCTCACAGCTTGTCTCACTAGGCACTGTGCCTCAGGCCTCTGGTCACAGTCTTACACCAGAAACCTTGAAACCTTGTGTTGCCATGGTAAACAGCTCTGTCCTCATTGTTTACCCAATGTGCTATGATCAATGAAATCTAACTCTTGTAACTTTTTTCTTATTGCCTCAAGCCTCCTGTAAAAAAATGTTTTTAAGCTAGGTGGACAAAGAAGCAAGAGAGAATTGGAACAGAGAATTGAAACAAAGGAGAAAGAATTATAACTTAGAAGAGAATTAGAGGACAGAAAAATAGGCAGAAGGATGAAGAACATGAGTCCAAACAGCACACGTGTGAATTTATTCCATACCCCTCAGATGAAAACCCTAAATCTAGTTTCGCTATGTTGTGGAGTTTTTCTTCAAAAACCCTGGGAGTAGCCTTGAAAGCTGATCCCCGAGGCTGCTAATATAAATGTTTTCAATGCAACATATTCTACTCTCAGTTGTTTTCCTTAATTGTTCTTATTAAACCTCCCTTGTGACATAATAGGTCCTCTAATTTCCATTTTCTGGGTCTTCCCCTTGTGGGCCAGATGCTCATTCACTGCTCATTATTTTCCCTTTGCCATTTGGAAATGACGTGCCACTGGATCCTCCCATCATCCCAGTTTTTAACACCTGACCTATTCTGTGACAAGAGCCATCTTTGAACACTTCTTTATTCTTTTAGAACTCGTCATGTTGATTGCTGTTGGCAAGAAAGAAAGACCACAGAACTGGCCAATCACACATGCGATCGTAGATGCATAAGCTCCATCTTCATCCGGGCTCCTAACACAGCCGCCATTCTCACGTTGCTTCCTCCCACCACCACGTTTTGCTGTTGACATTTCAAATGTGTCCCCCGTTGTGTTGCATTTAGCGTTGTAGCCCATGAGAAATTAAGAGCTAGGGAGCAGTTTCTACATACCTGTTTGCTGAATTCTTGACAGACACTTTGTGAATTTTGGCCATGGCAGTTGGAGCGGTATCGTGAATATTTTCTGCACACGCTAATTGTCACCAGACCTGGAACGGGCTTTCCATATGTGTATCTACAATAATAAAATGATCATTCCAATGCCATTGAGTGTGAATGATACAGATGTCTCTTCACTTAACTCATTCATTGGTCCATTGTATTCACCTAAGGGACCTGTTTTATGTCCCTGGCATCTGCATTCTAGGACAGCTTGTGGTAATGGTCTGCATCCTGACATCTACGTGGGCATGAAAATGTGCCTGTAATTAATTCCAAGACAAAAGGGCCAGAGAACCATTTAAAAATTCCTCTAAATGGAAAGATACTGATTTAGTATTTTTCTCAGGTTCTCTCTCTTTCCTTTCCCTTCCTCTCTCTTCCTCCCTCCTCCTCCTCCTTCTCCTCTTCCTCCTCCTCCTCCTCCTCCTTCTTCGAGACAGGGCCTCATTATGTAGTCCTGGCTGGGTTGGAACTCACTGTGTAGACCAGGCTGGTGTAAACCCAGAGATCTGCCTGCCTCTGTCTCCTGAGTACTAGGCTTAAAGGCCATCACACCTAGCCTTTTCTCTCCTTTCAGTTGAGGTTTTGGTATTAAGACTGTCCTGTGCACTGGAGAGATGGCTCAGCAGATAAGAACACTTGTTGTTCTTCTTGAGGACTCAGGTTTTATTTCCAGCATCCACCTGGTAGTCTAGAACTTTCTATAGCTTCAGTTCCCAGGACTCTGTTGCCCTTTCTGGCCTTTGCACGCATCAGGCATGCATGTACCTGTGGGCAAAACCACCTACACATAAAAAGAGTGCTTCTTACTCTTCCAGAAGACCCTCATGTGGGGTGGCTCACAACGGCCTGCAACTCCATTCATGCTTCAGTGGATCTGATATCTCTGGCCTTCTTGGGCACCTGCCCATGTGTATGGCATATACCCACATACCCACATAATATTTAAAAAATTACTGTCTCTGCAGTCTGATTACCAAAGTTATTTTAGGTTAAAAGAGAGAAAGGTACATAAAGACTATTCCTGAGTATTTTAAAATAATACGTGAGAAGAGTATTTGGGAAATCAGTGGCTACAAAATAAAAACACGATTTATAAGTAATATCATGATGACTCAATTTGTTTCTGCTGCAGATGATGGAAGGGTACCACGCAAGGCTGGAATGACCTGCGACCCATGTTGTGATGGAGGATTCTTGACTCTTGCTTAGATTTGTAATTAGAACTTATGTAGGTGAGGCCAGGGATTCTAATTTTAATTAAGCTCTTCCCATAGAACAGATGTGGAACATTATCTGAAAATCTCCCTTTAGCTGATGAGCTATGTGTGTGATGAGCTGATGAGCTGTGTGTGTGATGAGCTGATGAGCTATGTGTGTGATGAGCTGATGAGCTGTGTGGCTGATGAGGGTGAGCCTCATGGCCACAGCTTTCTTCTTGTACACCACTTCTAAGGCTTGTGTGTGCTGATAAGTAATGCATCATCAAATATTATTTAAAATAAACCTCTCCAATAGAATATGGACATCAAAATAAGATAGGGGAAATGTAACTTACACGCCACAGGCAGATACATCAAATTCCTCTTCCAGGAAAGCAATCGTCTTGGGCATTTTTACTTGCACCTCAAATTTGGGCAAAACTGTTTTGAATAGAGGGGGGGGGGGAAGGTGAGAGTAGGTAGGAAACCTCATAAATATCACGGATGGATTTTGTTAGAGGAGTCTATGACATTGAATCACGTGGAAGGAGCACCAGCGTCCATACTGGGAAAGAGCATTGCCATTCACTCCTGTGAGCAGTTATACCATGCTAACTTGGTGAAATCGGGACTGCATTTCCCAGACTCCTCTGATTTCGTGCAAGATTTCAAAGGCGGGTGCAATGTCCCTGAGTCTGAAGACCACCACAGTTATAGGTAGGAGCAGAAGGCCAGTGGGTTCAAGTGTGATCTCTCTCTCTCTCTCTCTCTCTCTCTCTCTCTCTCTCTCTCTCTCTCTGTGTGTGTGTGTGTGTGTCTCTCTCTCTCATTTTTTATCAAGTGCTAGCTATTCTGACAGACACCCCAGCTCCACTACCAGACACCTTGTCTACCGAATAGGGAAATAAATATCAGAGGTCACAGCTTTCCGCAGACCCTTGCACTGGTCCCCATGCATCTTCCCCTCTGGCAGCTGAAGATGCCCCCCTCCTCGTCCCCAACTCCCTCATGCTCTGACTAACCCATGCTCGCTTCAGAACTTGTTAGGCATGGTCTACGATTCACCACTTCCTCCTGTTGGACCCTTTCTCACCCAGCCTCTCCCACAGTTGTGAAAGGCATTGCCTTATGTGATTATTCTAGCAGCTCTGGGGGGCTTTGAGAGTCATGTTATTTGATTGATCTTCTGGTATTGACTTCTACCATCGTCATATGCACACACGGAGTGAGAACACACCACCCTTGACATGCACGCACACGCACACCTCTCACATACATACACAAAAGTAACCTAAAAGATTCCAACATCATAAACCGGTCGTGTACTTGGAGAATTCTTACCGTATTCATCCACCTCAAAGTAGTGCTCTATTTTCTTCCCCGAGTCCTTCTGCACTATAACCTTGTAGGTACCTAGAGCTGGCTCAATCGACAGTGGGAAAGAGAGCTGGTGGAGTCCTGTGGGTAGGTCGACATTTTGCCATTGAAAAATTCGGTTCCTCTTGGGATTCTACAGAAAGATATTATGGGTTGTGTAAACAACTGATTACAATTGATTAGAGGTCAGATTTTTCAGGGAATAACAACCCTGGGAGTTTAGTAAGTGTTTGATGCAGTAGTGCTAAAGTTATTAATGCACTTTAAAACAGAATTCTAGACTGAATAACAGAGTGAGTCCACCAGCTGTGGGATCCTATGAATCCTATGGCAGTGCCATCCCAGATACATCAATCTTGTCTGATATTGGAAGGCAAGCAGGTTAGAAGGGGGACCCTGCATATCTGTGTCACACCAAACTTCTTTTGATATGCAAGTTTATTTGGCCAGATATATTTGAGGAGTTATGAAATCACAGCATCCTAAAGAACTGTGGTCATTCATTTCACTGTTACTTTCCCAAAGAACTTGAGGTAGGCCAAAAAAGAAATAGTATATGTTAAATTGAGGTGGCATCTAAAAGGAGAAAAGAGATCCAGTGTGACTTGTAGGCTGCCCTCATTCTAACTTAGAAGTACAGTTTGTTACTTACCTCAATATAAATGATAGGGAACTGAAAAGAAAAAAAAAATGGGTGAGTGTGTGGCAGCATTTACAAAGAGATCATCACCAAAAACTACAGTTTAAAAATTGTACTAAACTTACTGCTTTCTTTTTTATACCATGATTTATTTCCTTGTTCCATACCATTTTTTCTTTTTTTAAAAAAGATTTTATTTATTTATTATGTGTACACCATTCTGCCTCCACATATGCCTGCATGGCTGAAGAGGGCACCAGATTTCATTGTGGATGGTTGTGAGCCACCATGTGGTTGCTGGGAACCGAACTCAGGACCTCTGGAGGAGCAGCTGGTGCTCTTAACCTCTGAGTCATCTCTCCAGCCCCGTTTTTTCTTTTTAATTCGTTCTTTGAGAATTGTGTACAATGAGAGGAGTATTCCCCTCCCACACTTCTTCCATATCCACACCCCTTCTCTACCCACCCTATTTCATGTCTTTTTTGTTTTCATCAAGTCCAATTATGCTGCCTACGTGTTCACGGATGCCAGAGGCAATGGTGACATCCGGTGGTAAAAGCCTATTGTGTGGAGGAGCAAAGTTGCTGTTTCTCTTGTCTGAACTAGGAGAGGTCCTTGTTTGATCTGTAGCTTTTCATCTCTCTCTCTCTCTCTCTCTCTCTCTCTCTCTCTCTCTCTTGTTTTTCCAGACAGGGTTTCTCTATGTAGCCCCGACTGTCCTGGAACTCACTCTGTAGACCAGGCTGACCTTGAGCTCACAGAGATCCTCCTGCCTCTGCCTCCCGAGGGTGGGACATAAGTCTCTAAAGAAGTCACAGTCACAGTTTTCCTTTTAAGGGTGACGTACATTTGAGGAAATCTATCTGGATGGAAGATCTGAGTAATAAGTACATTGTTATTTTGCAAATGATATTTGCTTAAGAGGAACTAAACACACTTCTGGAAGTGGCTAGAATCTTCTAAGAGGACATTCTCAAATGGAATTTCTTTTTGTTGCTAGTTTTCAGATGTCATTTTACTATGTGGTCCAGGCAGGCCAAGACCTTGTGATCCTGCAACTCAGCTTCCTATATTCTGGGATTAGAAGCATGCATCAGCAGTCCAGCTTGATTTTGAATGCTTTACCTACTTTAAGAAGGCAGTTAGAGAACTGCCTGGAAGCTGCCACTGCATATGCTCCTGGCATGGGTACTGTCGGGCAATCTACTGTGGTAGATTTAGGTATCACTTTCACCATTTCAGGTTTTTTAATGAATTAGATTTAAATGTTTGCTTACTGACCTCATTTGAATTCACCCACCCAAAGGAGACTCACCATTTCATTCAACGGGCGAAAACTGATGTCCATAGAGACAACACGGAATTTCACTGAAACAGAGAATTTCTCTGTGAGATACCCCTGCCCCCACCACGTGGGAACCCAGGGCCAGAGGTTCCATGACTGCAGCTTAGACATAAAGAAAACCACCCACCCACAGCCCTGCAGCTGTCCTTGCTCAGTTAGCGCCTCATACCTGTTTGTCCTGGTTTGTATATGGGTTTGTCTGTCTGGACAAAGACTAGATTCTCTGCTTTTGTTATCTGCATTGGCTTCCTCTTTATGAAGTTCTGGGTTGGCCCCTTTATCTGCACCAATAAGAATGCTGAGGCTGAGGGCAAACTTGAGATCTGCAAAACAGAAATGTGAAGAGGGTTTTCAGCTGTTACAGGGGTCTGTCTTCCTTGTGAATCCCTGAGAACTGGATGGGAATGTCAAGGACTCAATTTCCGGTGGTACCCATAGACTACTGCAAATGTGCAACGTGCTATGAAAACTTCACTTCCTTGGTTGAAGGAGAAAACAATGGACCATCCAGAACAGTGCAGTCAGGACAGTGATTGGGATGGTGTCTACATTTTCACAGCAAAGTCTTGGTATTAAAAATAGTTATCATAGTGGGGGGGTGGGAGGAAAGGAGAGAGGGAGAACTGAGATTGGAATGTAAAAAATAAATTAATAAAATACGGTTATCGCCGGGCGTTGGTGGCACACGCCTTTAATCCCAGCACTCGGGAGGCAGAGGCAGGCAGATCTCTGTGAGTTCGAGGCCAGCCTGGTCTCCAGAGTGAGTGCCAGGACAGGCTCCAAAGCTACACAGAGAAACCCTGTCTCAATAAACCAAAAACAAAACAAAATAAAACAAAAACAAAACAAAACAACAACAACAAAACAAACCAGTTATCAAATTCCACCTTCCAAGGTCAGCATCAGCCGTCTGTCTTATGTGAGCAACTTGCCTTTTAAGAATCTATATTCAAGGCCGACCGACCCAGGAACTAGAGCCCTCATCCAGTGGCTGATGGAAGCAGAAACAGACATCCACAGATATACACTGAGCTGAAATCGGGAATTTAGTTGAAGAGAGGCAGGAATGAAGAGCGAAGGGGTCTGTACCAGGTTGGAGAAACCCACAGGAACTGTTGGCCTGAACAAGGGAGAGCACATCGGCCCCAGATTTAATTTAGCCATGCCATTGTGAACATACTATATTGTGTATCATAATTGTGCATGACTTTATTTATGAGCTAAATTAGTATTTTTCCCTGGTGCAAGAAGGGACTTTGAGAGCCCATCCTGTGTGAAAGGATACATTCTGGCCCTGGACACATGGGAAAGGACCCAGGACCAGCACAGGAAGATTTGGTGGACTTTGCAGAGCCCCGGTTGAGGGCCCTACCCTGCCTGGGGAGTGG